AATAAAACTCCATACATAAGTTGTAAATCAAAATGACACGACTCCAAACTATTTGCTAAAGGGAACGTAGAAGCAGTGGACTCAAAATTAGCAACATTAATGCTCATAGTTTCGGGCTGAAGGTTTACCTTTTCTCTAAGTCATCATCTCTTTGTCATTTTAAGCATAGCACCAGTTCAGGACATATGGTGCTGAGACTGTAATTCTAAACTAACAAAACTATTGAACATTGTTTTAAGACCCGCAACAAATTTACAAAGATTATATAAGTGATTTGTCTGGAAGAGAATAACAGCATACTCTGAGTGTCTGTTCGATGTTATAACGTCAAACAATTGTCTGTGTGTACAATAGTGGATCAAAATCTAGGCTCGTATTAATACTGCAAGCTTCACCTAACATGTACATAACTAAAGTAATAGTAGACATCTGTAAGTCTCGCCAGACTATAGATTATGCACCAAAAAAATTAATTCTGTAGGCACTTTCTTGTATGGCTGTATAGTCCTATTTGGGCAAGTACACTCTGTTGAAGTTTGAGCAGGCAAAGGTGGTTGTTGGGGATGAAGGCTGTTGTGCTGATTTTTTCTGATGGTCATTTTTTCTTCTGCTTGCTGAGCTCTTTTCTTTCCGTTTGTCTTCATGCCTTCCTTCACACGGCGTTTCCAAGAATTGCAATTTTCTGCTACTTCTTCCCAGTTGTCAACACAAATTTCAGTAGTTTCATATCCATTTTGCAAGCGTCTTTGTAGTGTAGATGGGGGCTTCCAACTGATCTTTTTTTCTTTCGCAAGCTCGCCTTATAGGATTTCTTTTGGAATTTTTTCATGCGCCTTGTGTGCCCAAGCCATCTCAATCTTCTCTGACTCAATAATGAGAAGATGCTCTGCATATTGGCGCGCTCAAGCACTTCGCTGTTGGTGATTTTGTCTCGCCATGTTGTCCCGAGGATCCTACAGAGACAGCACATGTGGAAACTATTAAGCTTCTTTTCCTGCTTTGTGTAGGTCGTCCATGCCTCACTACCACATAGAAGAGTGCTGGGTACATAGACCTTGTACACGTTCATTTTGGTGTCCATTGTCAATTTCTTGTTATTCAAACAACTATAGTACTTTAGTAATGTTCTCAAGTTCCGTACTGTTACAGTGCATGATATTACGTATATATATATTTACCTGCCGTATACAAATTAATTAATTACCCAAAAGAAAATTATTAAATTATCTTTCTACAAAATTAAGCTAACAAAAAATGTCCTGTTAGAAGCTCCTGAAACAGGTGTATGTAAGTTGAAATGCCGTTTCTGCAGGTCAGTTGGGGAAGCATAAGATCTGTGTGCTAAACATTTTGTAAAGTTGGTGCTTGAGTGAACAAGAAAAGGCAAAAACAATGCGGAGTTTTTTAGTGTATGTTAAAACAAAGATGCGTTTGAATTTGATCAGAAATACTACATTTCAGGGCAGTTACACTATAGAAAAATTTAGAAAGAAGTGGGTAATTATAGAATAACGAAGAAATAGTGACTAGGGAGGATAAAAGAAAAAAACGCATTTCAAGTGTTCGCTCGTCAAAAAAAAAAGAAAGAATTGAACAACACGTAGGCGGTTTTAATGCTCGTTATTTCATTTAGTCTTAAAAGCACGTGATTGTAAGTATGTGCAAACAAAAATAAACACGTTTTTTATATAATCAATAGAAATATTTTGAAGTTTGTAGATGAAGTTTGATTCACCAATGGATGAAGGAAACATTTCATTTATTTTACTCTTCTTTAGTGAAACGTTTCAATTCATCTATAAGATAAAGTTTATTCTTACGCATATTATAAATTGGAAAAAAGTACACCAACAGCACGGAAAGTCTGTATTTTTTCCCTTTGATAAAAGCTTTTGTATTTTCTAACCAGAATCAGAAATTTATTTAGAACTGTTCAGTGAAACAATTATGACCTTTTAAGCATGGCATAAACAAAGAGTGACCAATAATATTTCTCAAGTAACGTTTATGTAGTTTTCTCGTGCTTCATAAAAACTAGAAAATCATACCCTTCCCGTGAACGCCTTCCTGTAACGGATCTATCTGAAACTTGTACTGCAACCGAGTTCTCCCTCTCTCTCCATATATATGTATATATATATATATATATATTTTTTAAAGTTCACTTTGATATAAACATACAACGAAAAATCAGTCTTTTAAATGATACCTTATCCAATGCTATAGCTATTGTAGTTATGTTACAGAAACTGTTCACAGATACATGTATAGACAGATATTTTTGTATCATAATAAGATAAGAATTAACAAAATGCTGTTTTCAAAGAAAGAATCTGGATGTTTGAAACTACCACTTGACATTTCGTTACATATTCTTGCACTGGTTTTTAGTTACATTATGGAGTGACAAAACATAGTAATGTGTGGGATAAACAATGTCAGTTGAGTATTACTTCTCTCGTTAGAACAGACTAGGCTTACTTGTTAGCAAACTAGTCTGCGAATTGCAGTGAATCTAAATAAGTGGTGTGTTTAATTGGCTTGTTCCCTCCTTCTTGTCAGCATTTCTAAAGTATGGATGACTTTGCCTGAACCTTGGGTTCTGTGACTTGCTGTTTATTGCATATGCTTTATAAGGCGCCGTTCGGGTTGAAAATTCCAAATGTTTTTCTCATTCTTGCATTTGACAGCGCCCTCACATGACAGCCATGTGACACATCACGATTAGCCCACCTACTTCTCACAGTTGTGTTAACTTCAAACTTTTTTTTAAAGCTTGATTCATAGATAAAAATAACTTACTATATTAATATTCTTGCCATAACCATGTATGTTATTTTAGCTGTGTAATAAGTAGAATACATATTACTGGCATTTCTTTCAAACAGGAAACGCACAATTGCCTAATAAAGATAATTGTTCATCCAAAAGTGATTATTAAAAGAAGGCAAACGGGATAGTTTTTGATTACAAACGTATCTTCATAATTAGCTAAGCTGATATAATATGACCGAAACGTCATATAGTAAAAAGTTTTAGCAAGGATTGATATATATATATATATATATATACATATATATTTCTTGTTCATAAATAAAATAAAAAAATTGTTATTTACTTTTCTACTCAGACGTTACTTATTTCCGGTCTGCATTAAGCTTTCTAAAAATATTTTGCTCGTAGCTTCTCTTTTAAGTTTATAGATAAGAGGCAGTATTTGCACCTTAAATCAAAATGGCAGACTGTACAACCTTAAAAATAATCAGAGGTTGTTTCATCAAACGAAGCCTGAGAGTTTAAATGTTATATGCAGTGACAAAACGTTATTCTCTGCTTGTTAACTTCCTTCATTGCATCTCACTTGGGAAGTAGAGTAACCAATAAAATTACTTTAAAACGATGTGTTTAAGACGATCGAGAAACACGTTTGAAATAATTTCGGAATATACGAACACGTTAAATTATAGCCAAGTACGTGTGCAAATGTTTAAATACGAATGTTCGCACTTTTAATTTTTCAGAGGAAGAGTAGTTTGCAAATATTAGAATACTGCTATCGCGCTGTCCTTGGGCTCTGTTCATGATCTGTCACCATATACAACATTCCAAATGAATAAATTTTTACATGCTCTGTCTAATCTTGTTTGTAATACATTGCCCCAGTTTCCTGATTAAAATCTTTCGTCTACCACTACTGCTACTACTGCTATTGAATGGAAGACTGTTGTTTAACGACATCTAGTTACACAAATATGAGTTATTTTCACTACGATGGTTGATTTATGTGTCCAATAAAATTATCTAATCTTGATGCGTATTTTATTTATATGTAGTTATTTCGACTTTTTTATTATTTAGAAAAAGTATTCAAGATTGTGTGTCATTCTAGCGAGATTTAATACCTTCTGGCATGGCCAGGTGGCTATACTCGCAGTCTGCGGGTCGCCGGTTCGAATCCCCGTCACACCAAACATGCTCACCCTTTCAGTCGTGGGGTGTTATAATGTTATGGTCAATCCCACTATTTGCTGGTAAAAGAGTAGTCCAAGAGTTGGCAGTGGGTGGTTATGACTAGCTGCCTTACCTCTAGTATTTCACTGCTAAATTAGGGCCGGCTAGCACAGATAGCCATTGTGTAGCTTTGTGAGAAACTCAAAACAAACCGAACATTTGAATTTGTTTTGATTGAAATATTTGTTTTCGTTGGGTACCAAACATTCATATTAGGACTAGCATCTTTGAACTGTGTTTGCTATAATCAACCTGGCGATGCTAATTTGATTGAATGAAGCCTTGTATGAAATTTGACTGAGTAAATTTCTCTTATGTATTTTTTCATACTACCTCAAATTGCATTTTAAGATTTACAGTTTTACAACCAATTCTTGCACAGATGGGCACTTTGTTGTTCCTTTACCATTAATCTAACCTGGTTACTAAGAATTAATATAGTTTGAAAGTACAGTCAGGGTCATTTAACCATTTTTTTACCATCAACCAATTCTGGTTAGTGAGAGTTAAAACAGCTTGAACTTATTTATTTCAATGCTGCTTTCATATGCTGAAGAACCAGCTTCTGTAAATAAACCTCCTTAGTATAGGGCTTCACAAGATTGTATATGTTTGTTTAGGGGCGTATGAGGACAAAATAGGTTGAGAAATAGTGGTATAGCTCTCTATCCTGTAAGTGAATTGAAGCTACTATATCTAATGTGTTTGATGATGTTAACTAATTAAAAGTCTGCCTTCTTTTGAGTCACTGAATTACCTAGATGTGAAGGTAATGTAAACTTTAATCCATTTGCCCTTAAAATTTATTCCCTTTTTTTTTCTGGTTGTGAAATTATGCCCGTGGAGTTGTACATAAACAAACAAGTGATATTTATTTCTTCAAGAAACATTGCTTTAATAGTTTTCATAAGGTATATAGCAATATATTTTTTTTATAAAAGTATACAATTAATAAATTTAATAATCACAAGAAATCATCTTCACTTCAGTGGTCCCCAGTTGACTGAACAAGAAGCTCGGCAAGCTCTACTGAAGTACGTGTCAACACGTTGCTGCTACGGAAAGAGTGCTGCAAGAGATATGGCTATTACAAAAATTGATCACTCCTGTGCTTTCCATGTAAGTATTATGTTTTAAATACTAAATTAATTATTTATATAGAAAAACCACTGTTTATTGTCTATTAATTTATAAGATCAAATATATATGATTGTTCATTATTTCATAATTTCAAATCTTTTGTAATTTTTTTAACATTTTGTATCATCAAGTATCAAGCATGATTGTTTACTTAATAATTTCAAATAAATGATGGAATGTTTAGTATTTTATAACATTGAGTAATTTTTTCATTGTTTATTTTCTAAAACATTAGATATTTTATGGTAGTTTGTTATTTTATATTATTGAGTATTATTTCATTGCCTAGTTCTGTTTACTTCTTATACCAACATTAGAAAGACAATGTGATTTTCAGTTTTATCCCCCCCCCCCTTTTTTTTTTTACTTTACATAAAAAATTAAAGATAGGCAGGCAAGAATATAGGGGGCCAAATTTAATATATGCATTAAGGCATCGAAGAAAATAATTTGGATATCAGTTGTTAAAGTACATAGATATAACATTTTTCTATTTATATAATTTTTCCTTTATTCACACAACATGTAAAAAGATGAAAGTATGATTACCAAACCTGTAGACAAGCTGAACAAATTCTGAAACTAGAAAACATGGGGGTAAGTAGGACATGGGTAAATGTCTATGGCATTATTTCTTACAAAATCACACTTCTATTCTTTTGAAGTGCAGATTTTGAATATACAAATTAATGTATATTTTTTGCATAATAACTTGTTTTCCTTTATTATATAACTGATATGTTCTTCAAAACTGCTTGTTATACAACAAGTTTTTATTGTTAATATATTATTGCATTTTTATGGGTATTAGATGGTTTCGGTTTCTTTTTCTCTTATTTAGTATACCCTGGAAACGTTTTCTGAAAAGAGACAAACAGCTTGGGCATTTGAACCTTATGCAGGTAATGTAGGATAATACTTCACACACATGACACATATGTTAACTGTAAATTCTTAATATGGCTATGGATAATGTAGAGTGTCAATTACAAGCACCTTTTAGTGTATATGTGGAAGAAAATATTTTACCCAACAGCCATGTATCAGAAATTTAAGTGTACATTGTAAGCCTTTTAGTTGGAAATTTAAAAATGTTATATTTTTAATTACTTTTTTGTTTATTGAAGTTATGTTTAGATAACATTTGCATTCATTCATGTGATGTCTTGAAGTTTAATGTTTAATATTCTGGGTCCAAAAAGTCTTAGAAAAGAACCAATGTTTTTGTAGGAAAACTTTGAAAAATTATGATTTTAAGTAATTTTAGTTAATTATTTTTTTATTTCTCTTAGTCATGTGACCATCATAACATGAAATATTTCAGTATCAGCTACAGCTACTAAAATAATCAATAATACTGGAATTAATGTGTAAAATTTTGTTATATCAGGGAAGGTTACTTGAAACACCGTAAATGGAGAAAATGTGATATATATTTGTTCAATAAAGCTGAGAAGTTGCTGTAAATGTCATGTTTGAACTTTTTTTCTTACTTTAAAAATTTCTATTAGCAGGATTTATTTAAAATTTTGAAGAAGAATGTTCCATTTATTGGAAAGTGTTGAAAATAAACATTGGAATATGAAGAATGTCTGTAAAAACTGTGAATTAGGCCAGATTTCTTTTTCTATTTAACTTACAAGGCTCAGTGACATTAGAATTTGATGAAATAATTGAGTTGGAGGCTAGATGGGATGGCCCAGTGATTAATGTGTTTGGACTATGAATCAAAGGGTTCCTGGTTCTCAACTTATTCTGTGATCTGCACTTAGGAACTGTGAGTACACTATAAGAGTGATGGCCAAATCCCACTTTTCAGTCAGACATGAGTAGCCCAAGAGTTGACTGTGAATTCTGTTGACCAGCTAGCTGCCTTCCCTTTCATCTGTCAGTTAAAATATTAAGTGTGATTATGATAGGCCTTTGAGTAGCTTTGTGCAAACATTCTAAAACAAGTCTGAAAGGGAGGTTTTAAATACATTTATCATTGATGATTTATTCAGTTGTATATTTAAAGACATATTAACAGGTGGCTTATAAATGAAGATCAGAAAGAATATCTGAAAATGGAACAAATAAAAATAGTCTGATTTTTTTTTCCTTTTGCTTCTCTATCTTGGATTATCATACTCTGCAGCTGTAAATTTGAAATGCTAATCTTGTAAAATTTGTTAAGTTAATGCAGTAAACATCAACCCATTTTTCTTAAATAAACAACAAAAGCTGTTTATTATGAATTACTGATACATATATATGTATATAAATATATATATATTGAAATTGTAAATATATTGATGATAATACCAATGTGTAAGACATATACTTGAAATTCATGTGAACTTGCATTGTTACCAATGTTTCTACAGCTGAATTTTAGGTTGAGTTATGAATAATTTTGACAAAATATTTAGATAAATATTCTGAAAACCAGAAGAGCAACATATCAGTTTTACAACTTCTTTCATATTTAAAACCCAAAGTTCAACTACTTATTATTATTAAATGTACTTTTATCGTGACATTCATTATAAACTGAAGTATTTAAAAGTAATTGTTTCCTGGGAAATAACTTTTTAGGTGAAATATTTGTGAATCCTTTGTTATTTGAACTCACAGTAATGTATTTTGGTAAAAAAGAAATTCACAAACAATCATTAAAATGACATTCACAAAATTAACACCTTTAGATTTGGCCCATGATCTCTATAAGTGCAGTAATAACTAGCAAAGGTACCTAGCAAAGCTGGGCTTAAAAAATAATGCTATAAATTGGTGCATGGGCTGCCCCCTCAATTATTTTGAGTCATAACACATGAACCATTTGTCCAATGTAAAAATGCTTGTGCTACATATGGCAATAAACAGTAACATGCAAAGGGCATTAAAAGGGCAGGGCTTATTGACAAAAAAGGATACTTTTCAAGCATTGTAAGAAAGACTTTGGAGGGAAGTGTTAGAAGAGTCTATGAGGACTGTGGGTTACCTCTGGTACACGTATGGTAGAATGCAATGAAAAGTATACAGATCTTCTTTTATCCATAATCAGTCAGTCATATCATAATTATTTTTTTACTATAAAGGCCTAGAAGTTCCTTTATGTCATTCATTTTACAATTCAAATCTTCTTTTCCCAAACTGAACCAACAAGTTGTGGAATTCAGTGTGTGTTTTAGTAGTTGTGGATAATGTTTTATGGTTTAGAATAAGAGCAATTTTGGGGCATAAATGGAGGAATGCAAGGGCTTGAGCCCACCCAGCCATGCCTCTATGCATGTCACTGGCATTAAACATCACTGGTGTCAGCTTCACATATTTCTAGTCTACTTGCTCATGCTATTAAAATGATAAAATTGAAATAGGTGCCAAACACAAACCATTTAAGCTTTACCTTTGGGGAATCAGTCTGAGTCCCTCTGCCAGATTTCATTGAAATTGGTTCAGACAGTTCTTAAAGACAACTTGTGATGCCAGATATATGAAAAACTGTACTTTATATATATATAAATAGATAGATAGATTTGGTTTATATACTGTCATTGAAATGCATGTTTATTAAGAAAAGAAAAACTGAAAATGACATTAAAAAGTTGGCAGTCTATTGTTCTGTAGTGTGTAAAAATTGTTTAATTCATTCATATATTAACTATGAACAATCATCTTTTAGTCTAAATTTCAAGTGTTATTTTAAATTAAAAGTGTAATTGAAAAGATATACTTCCAGATTCTAATTGTATTTATTTGTTGCAAGCTTGTTGCTAATATACCTAAAAAAGGGAACTTTTAATGAGTCTGGAAGTTTAGAATGATTAGATGTGACATGAATCTTATAGTTTAGTCTGCTTCTAAATATATGTTAAATCATTACTATGTTTGTTTATTTTGAGTAATATTGACCAGTTGTCTGTAGGATGTACTAATGAACAGAAGCTAATTTTCTTGGCTTCATGTGTTAGGAGGGACAATAGACAGCTCTTCTACTGACACTCCTCCTGGTCCTTGGGATATTTCTGCTGCTCCTTCCTCACCCTTCACAAACTCCAACACTCAGCTAGAGGTTCCACACACAGCTTCAATCAAAACATGCCACACCTGTGGAGGGGTTGGACGTAAGCGCTGCTACACATGTTCAGGAAATGGTTACGTAAGCAACAAATAACATATGTTCTTTACAGAAAAAGATTAATTGATCTTATAGCATGGATAGATGTTAAGAGCCCAGGTTTTTATCCATACACACACCCATAAATTTAGTTAAAATAATATTAACTCTAGTTTTTGTTGCTAGTAATACTTGTAGACAGGTGTATTGTTTCTGTTCCACCACAAATTGAGTAAAACATGCACTCATAAAAAAAAATGAAATAATTGTAACAATACAGGACACACTCAAAGAATGCCCTGGATTTGAAATAATGAAAACATTTAAGTTGTGGAAAAAAGAAACATCACTTTAGTAGTATTTAAGTTAAAACAATATCATACTAATTATTTTACAGAATATTTTGTATCATGGGTTGTGTCTTTGGTGCACCTCTTGACATCAGGTAATTAACAAGATGTACATGAACAGATGTAGGATTCAACAAAAACCCACAAAAATATAATGGGCATTAATTAATGTGTATATTGGGTCAATAAATTGATGTGTCACACCTTTTGTTTCATGCAGTAGGTATTGACCTTCAAGGTGCCAAAAAACTGTGGTATTTAATACATGTTAACAGTCACCAAATAACATAACATGATATCATGATATTCTTTTAAACAAAGGATGTGATGTGTAAAATATCATGCACTGCTTGAGATAATTCTTCAGAATAACATTCTATATTTTGTATAAATGTTAAAACAGTGTATGGGAAGGGTGATTTTTAAGATAAAGTTAGGATCATCTGTATACCAAATCTAACAGTTTATTTAGTACAGGCAGTACCCGAAATTGTTTGTGTGAACCTAGAGTTGCTCTTACATTCATCTTATGAGAGTTCAGGATAACATATGTGCAAACGTGTTATTATTCTTACATTCCATCTTGTGACATTTCTGCAAACACTGAAGATAACAGTAGGATTACCTCTATTTGGGAACCTGTTATTACTTTTATACTCCATCTGGGGACATTTCTGTAGACACTGAGGATAACTGTAGGATTACCTCTATGTGTGAACCTGTTATTATTCTTACATTCCATCTTGTGACATTTCTGCAAATACTCAAGTTAACATTAGGATTACCACTATCTTTGAACCTGTTATTATTCTTACATTCCACCTTGTGACATTTCTGTAAACACTGAAGATAACAGTAGGATTACCTCTATTTGTGAACCTGTTATTACTCTTACACTCCATCTGGGGACATTTCTGTAGACACTGAGGATAACAGTAGAATTACCTCTATTTGTGAACCTGTTATTACTCTTACACTCCATCTGGGGACATTTCTGTAGACACTGAGGATAACAGTAGAATTACCTCTATCTGTGAAACTTTTATTATTCTTACACTCCACCTTCTGACATTTCTGAAGACACTCAGTATAAGAAAAGGATTGTGTGCAATAAAATGAATGAAATCTTTGTTAAGGTACGAAAAAGAAAATTTGTTAATGAACAGTTATAATAGGGAAAATTAAATTACTTTCATTTGATGGAAAGTATAAAAAAACTCAAGACTGTTAAAAATTTTAAGTGTTTACAAAAATTTAATACAGTGGATGCTTGTTTTCGTATAATTATAATCAGAAATTTTCTTTTACTTTATTTTATGAACTCATACTTTTTCCTGTATGTTAAACCTAAGTTTCATATACTGGTGACTTTCTCACTAGAACATTTTAGTTACTTAATATTGGAGTAAATCAAGTTTAATTTTTAAATACTGTACAGGAACAGTGTTATTCATGCCATGGTGATGGCTATAAAAACACCCTGAGTGGAGCACATGAGAGATGCTTTAGATGTCATGGAATAGGACGCAGAAGGTAAGTCCAAGTTGTATAAAGACCACAACTTATTTTATACTCTAAATTTACACTGGATGGTAGGATGAAAATACTTTAATACATTTTTCTTGTTTATTTATTGTATGTATATGAAATAGTTATTGAGTTGTGGCTTAAAACCTTCAACAAGGGCTAATATGTAGGTTCTACATTAATGAAAACAATAAGGTATAAATTTAAATATATATTTTGATATTTTTTTCACAAAATGTGAAATATTTAAGAAGACCTGAACTTCATCTGTCATTTTTTTAGATAGAAATATTGAGCATAATTGCTACTAAACATTTCTCTATAGGCCACTGAATTAATACTATACAATGAAAAATAGTGAAATGAAAAAGAAAGATAATTATAAAGATGGTTACAAAATCTTGCGACAGAAGTGAGATCTAATTGGCAAATATATTATGTATATATGAACTTTGCTATATGAAATGCCCTTGCCATTAAATATAATAAACTAATTAACTAAATATCTTCAGTCTTTGAGTTTTGAATTCATTATAACTTAGTACTTTTCATGAATGCGAGTATTAATACAAAAATTAATTAAGAAAGGAAAAAACTTCTTTTTTGTTTTTTAATTTTTAAGTTGTTGTTTCCAAATATGAATATCTTTGTTTGAGGCTCACAAGCTTAAAGAATGGAATGAAATGTTTAATATTTTGAACTAAGCACATGAACTTGTTTTAAATTGAAAACACATTAACCTTTTATGTATGGGTCTGGTTCCTTTGCACATATCACAGTGTTTTATAGAGTTAGATTTAATATTTAAACAACTTTATTATCTATGTAATGGAAATTCATAGACAAATCTTTACTATAAATACTTTATTAAAAATTTTGATTTTTTTTGTTTACAACAGACTTGCGGTGTTTACTAAAACCTTGCCAAATTTCTTGAAGATACATTTAGTAAATTAAGGGTTGTAGTATGTATAGCTTCATGATGTTTCAAGGTCATGCAGTATCCAAATCATCAAGGAAAGATTAATTTGTCATACCAACCTATTTATTTATCAATCTTTAGTTACAATTAAAACAACTAAAATTCATATCGTATATGTTGAGGAATGTCATTCATTTCTAACCTAGTTATGTCAACTGTAAAGAATGCCACTCTGTGGTAATTTATGCCTTTCTAATTGTCAGCTGAAGTTTTTTGGATTAGTTTTTATCTATTTTTAACTCTCATACTTATATATATATATATATATATTATTTTTTTTTACAAACACAGTTCAAAATAATCCAATAGAAGGCTTTACTGTAAGAGTTATAGGATAAAATAAACTTATGATTCTTCTGTTATGGCATTAGTCATTTTAAGTATAAATTTGTTGCTTTTTAATAATTTAAATATATAGCTATAGGAAAAAAGCATCTATTTGATAAAAAAAAGTTAGAATAATACCAAGTTTATGTTTTGACTTTAAATTAAATAAAATTTTAACATACAAAGTCAATGCTTTGAAATTACTCTTTTTTTTCTTTCTTTTTTTTTGCCATAGCAAGGTGGAATATTATTGTTGTAGAATAAGCACTCAGCAAATAAATTTTTGAGGGTATTAAACATTTAAAATATATATTGTTGTTTAGCTAGAAGGAAGTGTAACTTAACATGACTGATGTGGTTTTGTAATGATTAGAATCTTCTTGAAAGTTTAAGAAACAGTTTAAGCCACATAAAAGAAGGGAGTAAGTGTAGATTGAGTCATGTGTTACAGAGTTAACCAATTAGTTAGTTCAGTGCTGGGAAAAGCAAATAAGTAGAAATGGAATTTCTGTTAGATTTAATTTCTTTGTGAAGTTAGGTCTATCATTGAATGCCTATTATGCTAAACATGGAACTTGAAGAAATACCATGTTTGTGTTATTGTTAATTTCACTGGACTTTCCATTATTTATTTACCAAAAAAACACCCAACAATAAAATTCATTACATCAATATACTTATACTGCCGTCAAATTGCCTGCTGGTTGCTCAGCAGTAAGCTTGAATGCTTATAACACTGATAATCAAGGTTCAATACCTGGAAAGGGTACAGCACAGATAACCAGTTGTGTAGCTTTGTGCTTAAACACAAACAAAAAAACAAGCAGTAATTTTTTTTCTTGTATTATTCTCCATCTTAATAACTACTAATATCATAAAGATTTATGAAAACAGCAAAAATTGAAGTATATAATAATTCCATAACTATGGCTTTTCTTAAAAACATTTTTTTTTAAACCAATTCAAAGGCTCAAGATGCACACAACTTCTTTTTATGTGTGGTATTCTAAGGTGCACTCAAGAGTAATTGGGTAAGTTCTGCTGAATAACAGGAGGTTTGTCAGAAAATGTTACACAGAGTTAAACTGTATTCTCTGAGTTTGACTGTGTTGTGAAGAATAAAAGAGACTGGATACAGTGTATGAAATGTACATAAATCTTTATCTAACTCTCTCAACATGGACTCAGTCAATTTGACCGACCACTTGACCTCCTTGTACTCATTTAAAGTATTTATAGATTTAATACTTCTAACTTTCAATATAGTGTGTATATCTTCACAAAACTTGGCAGTCTTTCTGTTAACATTATAATCTTTCACATACAAATAATCATATTTTTAGTGAGGTATTTTTAATAAACTAAAATAAAGATTTATCCATGAATATATTGAGTATTTGTTTTGAATAGTCTGCGTGCAAAGTGGTTTTCATGTTAAGATTAAAAATACTTTTCCTTATCTCAAAAACTCGTATTTCCTTTGTGTAATCCCATAAACCTCCTAAATACATTTCAAACGTTTGTTTTTAGTAGACTAGAATGACTTCAAATTGTAACATGAAACTACATTCATTTATCCTAAGTAGCTTTAAGCTGTTAACAGTATACATCTATTTATAATTAAATTTTATTGTTTTACTGCCCTTTGAACCATGTCTAATTAATATCCGTGCCATTATGAGTTGTAAATTAGTCTGGGAACATGCTGCTCATGTTATGCTATCGAATTACATTACCCATGAGGTACTACGAGCTGCACGCATGCATTTTAATTATATTATTATTATTATTATTTATTTTATCTAATCTAATCTTAACTAACCTAAAAAGATCCCAATTTTTAAATTTTAATTACTTTTATAATAATAAATAAAGAATAAACATGAAAAACAAGAAATAAAGTAATTACCCAGTCTTCTTTTTTCTTGATGTTGATTGTCGATGACACTTAACCATGCTTTTTTATACTAATGGTAGTAATGCACTAAATAATTGTTATTCAATTAAATAATAAACCAAAGAACATACCGCTGTGCCAATGGGGGTCCCCGACAACTAAAAAAAATGATAGTTATCATTGAAACATCAAGCAGTATATATCATAGTATTAATTAATGTTTTTAATAATGTTAAGTGTAAAACTAAAGGAACTTTATATTTAATTATACAGTGATATTGTGAGCTCTGTTTATTTAGGTGCTGGAAGTGCAATGGTGATGGCCTAGCCTTGTGTAAGGGGTGTGCTGGTACAGGTCAGATCAAGTGTTATATCAGACTTACTGTTACATGGTATGTTTAATATAAGTTTTCCTCTGTGTATCTGTGTACTTGTAGACTCCCATTTAATTACTTACTGGGATCAAAGTTCAAAAAATATTTTATAAGAAGAGCTAACAGCAATAACACAATCCTGCGAATTTGAGCTTCGTAAAATTTGTTTTGGTTTTAAAAATGAATTTTCCATAATTCAGCTACGCATATTTCGAAAATAGTATTCATTTTTTTTCTATCACGTAAGGACTTTTTACAAATTGGGAAGAAAAACTTACTTAGATCAATTATTATTCATTTACCACAATGAACTTTTTTTATTATTATTATTATGTTTGTTAACCAAAATACAAAAAAAACTGAAGAAAAGGGAAGAACATTGATGTCAAACAAATATGCATCCTTATTCATCCCGATTTTTTTATGAAATCTACATCCTTTAGTCTCAAAATTACGTGTTGTGGTCTTTCTTTTATGTATTGCATTATGACATCTTGTGAAAAATCTGTACGTGAATTGTAGAACATATAAAAATTTCAAGACAATAAAACCATCTCAGGCTTGTGTAATTAATATATATATATATATATATTTTTTTTTTTCTTATTGGAAAAACTTTTCAACATTGTGTGTGTAATTTATTTATTATTGAAACTAGCTTTAAAAAAATTTATGTTGAATTTAAAAAATTGAGTACATTAACCTTTTGAATATTTTTTGGTTCAATTTAAGTAAACAAGACTAAATTTAGGAAAAAAGTATCTGAATGACAAGAAATAATGTCATTGATATTAATTGATTTTTTTAATGCTTCTTCTTATGATTTTGATTTCTCACAGTGGTTTGATATGTAAAAGAGACTGTAATGTAGTTTCATTGAAAAAAAATGCACATATACTACTGTGTGATGATTAAACTAAGTAGTAGTTTGATTTTGAATGCAGAAATAGGTATATACTTTAATTAGGCTGCTTTGTAGTTGTCTTCAAACTAAATTTTGGTGAAAAAAAAAGTACTACCCTCTGTAAAGTTGAGATTGGTTTGTTGCAATTACCTGTTACGTAGTACCAGAAATATATATAGGAAAAAAAAATTCAAAATAGTTAAATTGTAATCCATAAAATCTATGACAAGATTAACACTTTAATTTACTTTTTTTATTAGGATGAACCATATTGATGAACATGTAGTTGAACACTCTGCTGTTCCTGATGAGAAAATCAAAAGTGGCTCAGGACAAGTGGTCTTTGAAGAAGAGGATGAGAATGTGGGTAAAAACACAAATGAGCTATATTGGGTCAGAATTATTCTTAGCTATAGTGCACATTATCTAGTGTAGTCTTAATTATATGGAAAATCCACATGAAGTTCATATGGTAGTTGTGGTAATCATATTTTTTTTATAACTTAATTTTGTCAGAAACGTTTCACAGATTATGCTCATGTACACCTAATGATTTTTAAAATGTGTTTTATAGGGTAGTTTTTTTAAGTGAATTTTTTAATAGAATTTATCATGGTAATGTTTTAATAACTGTTTGATAAAATGTGATTTTGAGAGGAGGACTGATAAACTTTTTGAAAGTCATCTGTGAAATCTTTATTTATTCTTCTTAAGAAATATCAGTATAACAGTAATGTTAAACAGTTATTTTATTAATGTTTATGTTTTTATTAAACTGATTCTGATTGATTTCTATGCCAGTGTTTAGCTATAATTGTGTCATTTTTTGCAGCTTTGGCCAATAAATCACTTTCCAAATACTGCCATTAATATGGCATCTGTGCAGCTAATTCAGCAACATGCAACAGCATTTCCTGCAGAAAAGGTTCTTCGACAGGTAAGTTTCGCATCATTTGTCCACTGTGCAATATTGATGAAATGCTTACTCCTGATGTATCTATTCTATGTTCATTCTAAAAGTAGAACTTCACCTAGAGTCAATTTCTTTGTCTTAGTTCATTCCAAATCTAAAGCTGCATTAAAAGTCGGTTTCTTTGTTGCTTATGATAAACATATTCTTTATAGAAAGAAAAGGGTAGCTGCAAATAAAAAAATCCAGGTGGCCTCACAAAGAGTATGAGAGATAAAAATTAAAGAAAAGCATCATAAATTTAAGCAATTTAAATTAACTGGTATGACAGGAGATTTAGAAGATCAAACAAGCTGGTGAAACAGGAAATTAGGACATCAAAAATGATGTATGAGAAAAAGTTGCCTGAAAATGTAAAACCTAATAATAAGGACTTCTTTAAATACATTAAGGGTAAATAAAATGTTAGGATATGGGTAGGACCCTTCAGGGATGATAAATGAAGGCTCATATCTAATAATTATGAGATGGCTAGGTTATTAAATTTTGCTTTTTTTCCTTCAGTTTTTACTAATGAAGATTTAAGCAGTATTCCACATCTTGAATAATTGATAGATGGAAACAAGATCAAACAAGATGTCTGCATTAATTCTGAGCTAGTTAAGAAAAAATGGGAAGTATAAAGAACGATAAGGCTCTTGGGCAAGATAATATTATCCCAAGGGTTTTGAAGGAGGTTAAAGATTGGATGTATGAGCCACTTGCTACTATTTTTTGTCAGTCCTTGAATAGTGGGCAGGTACCAGAGGATTTGAAGTTAGCTAATGTCACTCCTCTTTTCAAAAGAGAGGTGATAAAAATTGTCCCAGTAATTGTCGACCCATTAGTCTTACATCATTTGTGGGAAAAGTTTTGGAAAGTCTATTAAAAGATGCTTTGCAAAGTCATTTAATAAAGTTTATAATTTTATTGGATAGTCAACATGGTTTC